AAGTAACGTTGAGCACGGTTAGTACTTGGATGGGTGACCGCTTGGGAACACCGTGTGATGTTGTCAATTTTTTTTTATTGGAGCAAATAAAAAACGTATCATTATTGTATTTATTATTTGAATGTTAATATTTGCTCGATCTACTCGTAAAAAAACCCATATTACAAAAAATTATTTTCTACCTCTTTCTTTTCCTTACTATCATATATCTCTCTATGTATACTGTATATATGTATTGCTAACATATTTAAAATAATTATTAAATTAAGAACTGTCTGTAAAATTGTCTACAAAATATGTATGTACTACATGTTACTTCATAAAATCAAGTTTATTTATTTTTCGATAACTTATTGGTTTAACGCCACGTTATAGCATTATTTATTATACAACTCATAAATAAGCTATATAGTCCATTTTTTATTTTGTAATGAATGCTAATTTAGGTTAGTATTGTAATACAATCTTAATTACTAATACAGATTTCCTTTTAGAATAATGCAACATCCCCTATACAATGTAAGAGTATATACAATCTATAAATATAAAATCTATATTTTCAAATAATATAATTAAATGTATTATTATATTGTAAAAAATTTTAACAAAAAGATGAAGATTTATTTTATGACGGATCAAACTTAATCCAAATCAAGATTCTTTTATCGAATGAGATAGGATGTGGATGATTAGTAATGGACAGGAGTGAGAAACCTTTCGATATTTTGATAATGATTTATTTTTTACACACTTAGTTGACCTCTATACACAACTATACAACGATGAAAATTAAATTTCTGTCTATTTACTGCTAAGGTCATCGACTTGATAATGACTTGTGATAGAGATGCAATAAAGTCAGTCGATTCTTTTCCGATTCACATGAATCTGAAGAATCGGGCGACGTCTGCGGACAGTACGATTCGAATTAACTTTTGCGCGAAATATCTAAACGTACGATCAGCAGAGGCCATATATGTTACAAATCACCTGTAAAGAGTGACGTCCTGCCACAAATCAAAAGGACGTCAACCTCCACTCAGACTGAAGTCTATCTACACACGCATGATAAATTAAATAAATACAGGAATTGTTCTTCGCTTAAGAGGATCATTATCACCAAGGACACCGATCAGAGTTCTCGTATCATTTGGAACCGAGTTAAGAACGGGAAGGAACATTTCAGATGGCTGCATGCAGATAAATTGGCGTATTGCTAACGGAGAACGAATTAAAATATTCAGTTTTTAACCCATACAGTTGAAATGCTTGTTATTCCATAAGATATATTCTCGCATTATATATATTTGATTTTACATATATTTTATACAAACGCGTAGATAAATTACATCACCATCATACATTTCACATTTTTATGAAAGAAAATCAAATATACTATGACGTTCCAAATTTTTATCTTTCGCCCCAAAGATTTCTACGTAAGAATGATAAAATAAGTCGAATATTAAATAATTGTCGATTCATACAAAGATCAGATGAAGTATTAGCAATATGTCAATTTAATCATGCAACAAGAGATGAAGATGACCGAATAGAATAATAGTTCTCCTTTTATGCTCTAAAAGAATGCATGCTCGACGACGAGGTATTGCACGAAGCATTTGAAAATAAGGAACCACAAACACTCTGACGAACATCATTAAGGTCTTGCTTCCGTCCCACGTCGACGACAGGACGAAATCGAGAAGGGACGCTTTCAACGCGCGCCCGTATTTTTGTACATTAAAAATCGTATACGTTCGTAGTGATACATCGACAATTGCCTATCTGTTACTCCATATTTATCGTTTAGGTTTACCTAGGTCTACCGTAAATTCGTAACTAGAATAGTCGACTTTTCGTAGCCGTGCTCGCAATCTACCACCGGTGCCGCTTTGAAATATCCTGCGCGGACCAATGTCACCGTCAGAAAAAAATTAACGGCCATCCCGAAATATATCACAATGTCCATGTATACTCATGTTCGATCGTAATGATGACGTTATACTTATTACATTATTATTGTTATTATTAATATTATTATTATTATTATTATTATTATTATTATTATTATCGTTGTATAATAATCATTATTACTATAATTATTGTTATTATTATTATTGTTGTTATTGTTATTAGACGTATACTTTATTTACAAAACTTACGTTTCGATGACAACAACGGAACAATGTATACATATACTTATAGTGCGCCATAAATTTCTTCAAGAAAGTAATACACGAACGTAATGCTAATCTGCATTCATCATCAGAATGTTTACCATCAGAAACGCGACGAATTATGTGCCCTACCGTTTTGAATTTATTAAAAGAAGCAAAAGAAAATCGTTCAACATATGTCCGTAAAAGGAAATTATTTTATTGTATTTCTTACGACAAACGACGTCTCTGCACGACGAAGATCGTGTACGAAACGTAAAGTCGACACAAGAAAGATTAGCTTTACGTTGCGCGTATTAATATAGCTTTTTATTTCGCAACAGAATCATTGAGTCGCTTTATTCTCATTATTTTAGTATAAAAAATTCGGAATAAATTGTTATTATGTAATTTTGTAACCGTAAAATGTGAGTAAATTTTACAACATGAGTTTTCAATCGTTATTAACGCGATAAAAAGTTTCATCGTTTAAGATCATTTTAAGACCAATTCCCATTTCTCCCGTCATACAAAGGATAAAAAATTATTTTTTCAAACAGACATTCTTTCTCGACTGTTTGTATGCAAGCACAAATACGTGATGCAAGGATCCTATCGCGACTCTTAGAAACTTAGAAAAACGTTTTTCGGAAAACTCTGTCATTCGAATGTAAACACCAAAATTTTATTTCATTTTTAAAAATACCGTTTTCGAAACAGGAAAACTACAAACCTCTGCATGCACAGTCTCAGAAATAATTACGACGCGTTGCAGGTCAAACGGCCTACAAATAAGAGCGATCGATAGCTCCGTCGCAATTGCGAGCAATGGTAATTGCAGTATTGATACAATAATAATATACCCTATCACGTCAATATTTTTACTATATTTACACAATGTCGTATATACGTAATACTAAGATAACTTGTCGTATACATCTCATTGCACCTCGCCATGTCTTCCGCATTGACCTCCATGACTCGAAAATACAATGTGCATTTTTTTCCCTGCGTTTCATCGTGTAGGAAGTGCAATTCCCGTGGGAGAAGAAATAAGTGTAAATAAGAATTACGTGACGGAAACCCACGCCCTAATCAGTTTGTCACACTCATCGGAAATGCAGTTAAATAATTTACAATTAGCGAGGCCTTAATCTCATCGACATTTCTTTAGCGCGAGCGCAGACACTCGAAATGCTTCTAACGAGGGCAAAACGACCAGAGTTTAACGACTGCATTATAGCCGCGACAAATCCCTGCCCTCGCGCAGTATGATAATCGAATTAAATTACTTCAGCGATTTCATTCGGAAGAAGATAAATTACAGATACATGGAGCCAATCGAACGTCCGACTTGGACGTAATTATATTAATATATTCGTGAAAGCCACCCGATTCCTTTTACCAGCGCACAGCGCCAACCCAAGAGTTTGCGGAGTATTAGTAGTTGTATTAGTTTACGGTAATTTTCTTCTTTTAAAACTTCACGTCACAAAATTCATTAATCTGCACAAATCACAATTCGTTCCTTCCTTTATCGACAGCTCTTTGTAATTACTAGGACAAAGTGTTTCATCGCTCGTAAAAAGCTGCAATACTATGACGGATCATATTTTAATCATTGATATTCGGAAATACTTGGACTCATAATAATTGCAGCGGATATATAGTAATCAAATGCTTGGATTTTACAATGAAATTGGTCCTACAAAAAATATCAGTTATTACTGTTATTAAATATTTAGAGCTGTCATGATTAGGATAAATTTTTAACGATACTGAGCAAAATCCATTTTCGTTTTATCGAATATCGACCGCTGTGTAAAAAATTGAAAATCTATTTAGAAATAAAACTTATTAGCTTTTCGCGAATTGTTTGAATAGAAAATCTCACTAATATCAATGATTTGCGCAGCTAAAAAATAGTTTATGCCAATGATTCAATTTTCTCCGCAAAATATCATATAACGCTTACGCCTGTTGCTATTTAAGACGTTGCTATTTGACTAGACACTACATGTTGGAAATATTTACCCGTTAATTCCCTATTAGGAAATCTTGAACGTGCAATTTTAATTGCTACAACTCCGTCATATACATCAATTCTTCTTTACAGTTATGGCGTCAAGTCGATGGTTGGCCCGGTATTAGCATCAGTAGGACACATTTGCAGAAACTGTAATCTACGTTATGTGTCACAATGGTCCTGGGAAGGCTATGATAATGAGAATCTATATTGCGCAAATTGTCCCTGTCGATAATGCCAGCAATTTCGATCCTCTACCCTGATTTTACCCTCAGCGCTAATTTATAGAAGAGTACTCCTTTCGTGGATTCTCTATATAATTGATATTTGTTTCTTTTGGAAATAAAGCAACTGATATTTGTTTTTTTTTTAAATAAAGTTTACGTAAAAAAATGATAGAAATACTGCGCGCTGCGTTAAATTTTTGTAATCACCGAATCATTACCGCTTCGCTAAACATCCGAAATTATCTAATCATTCTAATTTCGTCATTATTAATTGCTATTGCCTCATTGGCTTTAATTTAAATTCAAAGGGATAAACGATTTTGGACCTCCATCAAATTTGAATCGTTCTAATATCGTCGATCTTGACCTCGCACCACATTTGTTTAACCTTTAAATTTACGATAGTCAACTAGATAAATCTCTTCGATCGCGCTTGCTCTGCGCTCTTGCTCTTCTGCAGAATCAAACGCAGTCGATCTTGCGATTGCCGTCGACAGAACAGAGAGGAGTACTCGTTCCATGGATTATGGTAAGCTTCTACCGGCCGGCAGTTTTTCCTCCGTGGATACCGAACGTCAAAGAGACGGTTCAGACGACGCCTTGATAAACAGGACTGTACTCCATATCATGGGTATACTGAGGTGGTCCTGGCGGCGGCGGCTGTGGACTGTACTGTTGCGAGGCGTCCGAGGCGCGACGCCTGAGCGCCGCGATGCTGTGGGCGCCTCTCCAATCCGATCCTTCGTTCGTGCTCACGTCGGCCACGCAGGAAACGCCGCCACCTCCAGTACCGCCGCTGCCGCTGCCACCGGTACCGGAAGTCGTGCCCGGAGAACCCTGACCGCAGTTCAAACCTGAGCCCATCCCGGCTTGACCACCCACCGAGGAACCCACTGGTGGCGAACCCCGGGACGCTGATACGTGAACACCACCTGAATAGAAGAGAATCGGATTAATATTTTCTTTGTAACTCTCAATTATCAAGTGTTTAAAAATTATATTGAGAAAAAAGTATTTGGTACTTGTAACTGTAATTGCAATTGGTAAAAAATTATGATTATTATGAAGAACTCCATTTTTATAGCTACTGCTAATGTTAATAACAATAATTATATTTATAAATAAATAATAAATAGAAAATGGACCAACAAATGAATAATATAGAGCAATAATATAACTTATACAGGATTACAAAAAAGTTTAGCCACAAAATTTTGTGTTTATTAAATACAGGTAGCAAGCTGACGTTATTTGTCACCACTTTGACATCAAAATAACAATTAATAAGCTTTAGCTATTTGAGTAGTAACGTATATATATTTAGAAAAAAAATAAATTGCTAAGTATTATAGTAACATCTTATTAAATATCAAAAATATTTTGCACCATAAAATTTTCATCGATTGTGGTGAACTGGAGACTGCTCTATTGGTTACCTAGGAGAATTTATTCATGGAAGGATGCACAGTCATCATAGATGTATTTCCGAAGCGTCTTAAAATTTGTATCAAAGCTAAATGTGGTCGTTTTAAATATTAATTTTTATTTAGTATGTTTCATAATAATTAATACTATTGTTGAGTTTTTGTTTACATATGTTATACTAATAATTTGATAGGCACCAAACTTTGTGACAAAACTTTTTTGTATTTGATATTCATTCTCTGTATTCAATGAAGAAATTCCAAGCACATCAAAAGCAAATTTTGCAAATTGAGAAAATATCTGGTTGAAAATGGATGAATTAAATTATATTAATCGAAATTCTGGTTACCTCAACTAGAATTGTAATAGATTTAACTTAAGATTTTAAGATTAACTAATAGATTTAACTTAATTTAATTTAAGAAAATTCTGAGATTCGTCCATTTCCAATCAGAATTACAATTAATCCAATCAGATTTCTTTTGCAGTATCTTT